ATGAGATGAATTGGCTCAAATACAGAAGCAGTGGACTCAAAAAGCATAATGACAATTGTGGGGGTGGAGCAGGACTGGTCAGTGTTTTTGTTCTCTTGTGCATAGGTCGCTATGAGTTGGAACCTATTCAATGATACAGAAAAGTAACAACATGGAATCCTGGTTTGGTGCTGCAAAATTAACACTGAACTGCTAATTGCAAGGTCAATAGGTCCTTGGAAGGCAGTTAAAACCCCCATCCTTAAAAATCTTATATAATATAGGGTCACAGCCAATCTGAAGACACTCAACCACAGCATATGCTAGATATTATGCTTGTACTGGTTCTTGATAAATTGACATAAACTCTGACCCTGCTATAAATGAAGTCTATAGTCAAATAAGGAAATTATATGCATATAAATAAGTATAATGCAAAATAAAATTGATACTGTAAGAGAGGTTCTAATAATGTACAATAGTAGGGAGAAATGAAATGAACAAACAGGAAGTTTTGTGAAGGACTTTGTGATACGATTTTAGAAGGGAATGAAATTTAGATCCTAAAAAATGAAGGGTGTATTCTGTGTGGATGAAGCCAAGGCTAGAAGTAAGATATAGAAGGGGCAGTATGAGAAACAGTTGTTAGGTGTCATTGAGCTGGTTCTGACTCATGGTGACCCTATGTTCAACAGATCAAAACAGTGACCGGTCCTCACAATTGCTACTGTGGTTGAGCCATTTCTGTTACCATTCTGCCAATCCATCTCATTGAAGGTCTTCCCCTTTTTAGCCGATCCTTCATTTTACCAAGCATAATGATCTTATTCAGGGGCTGGTCCCTCGTGATGAGAGAGCATGACAGATTAAGTCTCACCATCCTGGCTTCTCAGGAGCATTCTGGCTATACTTCTTCAAACGTAGATCTGTTCGCTCTTCTGGTAGTCCATTATATGTAAAATATTCCTTAGCAACATAACTCAGTTCTTCTATGGTCTTTGTTATTCACTGTCCAGCTTGCAAATGCATATGAGGCTACTGAAAATACCAGGGATTGGGTCAGGTGCACCTTAGTCCTCAAGCTGATATCTTGTCCCTTGAACACTTAAAAAAAGAAGATCTTATGCAGCAGGTTTGCCTATTGCAAAGTATCATTTGATTTCTTGGCAGATGCTTCCATAAGAGTTGATTGTGGATCCAAGCAAAATGAAGTCTTTGACAACTTCAATCTTTTTTTCATTTATCATGATTCACTTATTGGTTCAGTTGTGAGGATTTTTGTTTTCTTTATACTTAGGTACAGTTGTTGTTGTTATGTGCCATCAAGTCAGTTCCAACTCAGTGATGTTGTGTATGGTTTCCAAGGAGCAGCTGGTGGGTGTGAACTGCTGGCCTTGTGATTTGAAGTCCAGTGTTGATCCTACAGCACCACACTAGAAGTCCTGAGGTACAGTGGGTAAGTTTACTTCATTGAAACAAATGAAAGAGAATAGAGTTGGATCTGAATAACAAATGTCAGAGGAAATGGAGCTGAAATCAAATGTGTTATGGTACTGTACTATTTTTGTCTCTTGGAATTTCTACAAGTTGTTGATCACTTTTCATCTTTTCTGTGTGTTCTTGACAGTTGGATATTTGATTCGATTACCAAGAGGATTTCATTTGTCCCAAGATTTGGTGAAAATAGTGGGATCAACAGATTTTCCAGGTATTTACAAGTGAATTTTCTGTGATTTTAAGAAAGTAATTACCAGTTGACCAGTCCTTGTGTGGCTTTGTAGGATGGTGGTAGTTGTGGTTGTGTGCCAGCAAATTGCTTCCAAGGCTGTAAATATTTACAGGGGTAGACAGCCTCATTTTTCTCTGGTGGAGCAACTGGTAGATTCCAACTGCTGACCTGAAGTTAGTAGCCCACAAAGCTACCAGGGCTCCTTGGCATGTTAACTACAATGTTAGAAATTGTGCAAACCCATCAGCTGCTCCTCAGAAACCCCATTCAGGGCCCTGATGAGTCAGAACTGATTCAACAGCACTTAACAACAGCAATTAAATGTAATCAGTTTTATCCTATAAGCTAATTTTCCTTCAGTTTTCTCTGTCATTTCATTCAATAGGAAGACTTTTTCATTTTATATGAATGGATAAAAAGTTGTTTCCATATACGAGGGTGAGTCAAAAGTGATCTGTACTGTGGTCATATGAAAACACTATTTTTTTGTCCACGGCTGATGACAACATTGAGTGAGCACATGCAATGATTCTGTCGAATAGACAAATGACAGTGGGTTATGTGACAAACCATCTGCAAATCCTCCCTGGCTCTGCCTATGAAATAATCCACGACAGACTTGGGTTTCAAAAGGTTTGTGCATAATGGGTAGTGAAACAACTCAAGGAAGAGCATAAACAAGCGCTGGACATCTGCAAACAGAATTTGGACCAGTGCGCGAAGGAAGGTAAAAGTTCCTTTAAAAAAGTCATCACATGGATTTAGTCCTACGAGTCTGAGAAGAAACAGCAGAATTTGGAATGGAACCATCTGTGATAGTTGACCAAGAAAAAGTTCAAAAGTCAACCACCAGGTAGAAAATTGATGATTACAAATGTCCTGGGATTCTCAAGGACCAGTATTGGAATACTGTCAGGAAAAGGGTTCAACAATCCACAGTGCTCATTGCAGTGAGATACTCACTGAATTGCTGATGCTTAGACTTCAGATTAAATGCTGAGGACTGCTATCCAAGGGGATGGAATCTTGCATGCTGCTGTCCACACTGTTGACACTCTGTAAAAACTTTATTTTGAGGTGTTAAAGCATCCTCCCTATAGTCCTGATCTTGTTCCATCAGACTCTCACCTGTTGGGTTCCCTGAAAGCAGCCCTTCAGGATGAATATTCAACTCTGATGAAGAAAGGAAGACAGCGGTGCATTCATGGCTCTCAGATCATCCAAAAACAATTTTTAATAAGGAATATGAAAGCTTGTTGACAAATGGACAAAGTATATTGAGAAGCAAGGAGATTATGTCGAAAAATGATGTATTTGTCTTTTCTAAAAGTTGATTAAATTCTGCAGCCAGACTGCAAATAATTTTTGACTCACCCTTATTAGATAAGAGTCATCTAGGTCCAACTAATAAAACTTTTTAAAATTTGCAAAGAAAAATTATTTCTAAAAATTTCCTAGTTAATGTTGCCTATGACATTAATAGCATTATTGCATACTAGCAGATACTATTGCTGATGGTCCTGGTATTGCACTGTAGGATAAGCACTGGATTGCTAACCGCAAGGTCAGTGGTTCAGATCTACCAGCCACTCCTTTGAAAACCCTCTATAGGGTTGCTGTGAGTCAGAACAGACTCAATGGTACATCACCATAACTTTCTGATTAGCAGACCAATGGGTAACCCACTATGCTACCTGCACTCTTTATGCAGTTTATATAAAGTAAATTTATTTCAGTGTGGCCTGCATATTATCAAGATTTTAGATTATAGCCAGAGGAGTTGTGGTACCACATCAAGATTAAGAGGCAGTTGTTAGAACAGTAAGTTACTGAATGTTTTAAAATCAGGAGAGGTGTGTGCCAGCGTTGTAGCTTTCATCCTACCTGATGGGAAGAGATCCTCATTTGTATCCATACAAAAAAAGGTGACCCAATGGAATGCATAAATCATCGAACAATATTATTATCACACACAAGTAAAACTTTACTAAGGATAATTCAAAACTGCCTGCAGCAGTACATTGACAGGGGACTGCCGGAAACTCAAACCAGATTCAGAAGAGGATGTGAAGCAAGGGATAGATATCATTGCTAACGTCAGATGGATCTTGGCTGAAAGCAGACAATACAATAAAGATCTTCACTTTTGCTTTGTTGACTACACAATGGCTTTTGACGGTGTGGATCCTTACAAGTTATGAATAACATTGCAAAGAATAGCTATTCGAGAACACTTAATTTTGCTCATGAGGAGCCTGTATATAGACCAAATGCCAGTTGTTCGAAAAGAACGAGGGGATAATGGATGGTTTAAAATCAGGAAAGGTGTGTCTCAGGATTGTATTCTTTCAATCTGTATCCTGAGCACAAAGTAATGATAAAAAAGCTGAATTATATGAAGAAGATGGCATCCGAATTGGAGGAAGACTCATTAGCAACCTGTGATATGCAGATGATATCACAGAACTTCAATTTCGCTTGCAGGAAGCCAAGAGGACTTAAAATAATTATTGATGAAGAACAAAAACTTCAGTATGGATTGTGCCTCAATGTAAAAAAAACAAACAAAAATCCTCACCACTGAATCAGTAAATTATATCATGATAAATGGGGAAAAGATTGAAGTTGTCAAAGACTTGAATTTGCTTGTATCTATGATCATCATTCATCGAAACAACAGTCAGATGACATATGTTGTTGTTAAGTGCTGTCGAGTCAGTTCCAAACCATAGCCACCCTGTATAAGGTTTCCAAGGAGTAGCTGGTGAGCTTGAACCACTGACCTTGCAGTTCAAATGGCTTTGCAGTCTGATCCATTAGCCCACAGCACCACACCAGGACTCCAAACGACATATAGATTTGCCTAAAAAAAGTGCAGCCAGAGTGCTCCTTGCAGGCCAGGATGGCCAAATTTCGTTTCTCATATTTCAGATATATTGTCAGGAGGGACCAGTCACTGGAGAAGGATATCATGTTTAGTAAGGTGAATGGTTTGAGAAAAAGAGGAAGACCCCCAGCGAGATGGGTCGGCTAAGTGGCAGCATCAGTGCACTCAAGTGTGGCAATAATAGTGAGGTTAGCCCAGGATCGGGCAGTGTTTTCTTCTGCTGTGCATAAGGTTGCTATGGGTCGGTACCGACTCGATGGCACCTAACAACAACAACAACATATGTCATTTGCCTAATGTAGCAAAGATAGCATTAGCCAAATCTGCTGTGCAAGACCTCGTTAATATGTTGAAGAGCAATAGTATAAGTTTGAGGATTAAGGTGTGCCAGACTCAAGCCTTGGTATTTTCGAGAGCCTCACGTGCATGTTTAAGTGAATAAGGAGGACCATACATCAGTTAGAGCATTTGTTATGGTGTTGGAGAAATTTTAGAGAACCATGGACTTCCAGAAGAACACACATTTGTTTTAGAAGATGTACAGCTAGACTCTTTCTTAGAAGCTTGGATTACCAGACTTTGTCTCTCATATTTCATATATATATTATAGGAGGGAGGGACCAGTCCATGGATAAGGATGTTATTCTTGGCAAAGTAGAAGGTCAGTGAAAAAGAGAACGATCCCCAAAGAGACTGATTGGCACAGTGGCAGCAGTAATGGGCTCAAGTGTGGTAACGGTTGTGAGGATGGTGCAGGACCAGGCGATGTTTCATTCTTTTGTGCATAAGGTTGCTGCAAGTCTATAGTGACTTGATATCACCTAACAACTACAATAACAATATTGTAACTCTATTATTTAGCTGCCAAAGTTATGTTCTGAAGTGACTATACTATTGCACTTTCCTGCTAGCAATGCATAGTAGTCCTGGTGTGGTATTGTGGGTGAATGCACTGGACTGCAAAGTTGGTAAACCACAAAGTCAGTGGTTCAAGCCTACCAGTTGTTCCTTGGAAACCGTATGCAGGGTTGCTATGAGTCAGAATGGACTCAAAGGCATTTAATAACAACAACAAAGCAATGTATAAGGGTTCTACTTCCTCCACATCTTTGCTAATATTTATTATTTCATTATAGTCATTGTTGTTGACTACCCTTGAGTAGAGTCTGACTCCTAACAACCCTATTGAACAGAGCAGCTATCCTGAAGTTGCCTATCTTTCCTCGTACGGAGCTGCTGACAGGTTCTAACACTTACATTGTGGTTAATAGACAAGTGCTGAAACATTATGTCACCAGAGCTCCTTCTTAGCCATCCTGTTGTTCTTGTTGTTGTTGTGAGGTGCCACCAAATTGATTCCGACCCATAGGGACTCTGTATAGGGTTTCTGAGGAGTGACTGGCGAGCTTGAACCACTGATCTTGCAGTTCAAACTGACCTTGCAGTCCAGCACATCAACCCATGGCACTACACCAGGACTCCAAAACGAACCTGGGCCAACAGCTTGGAAGGCAGCTATCCTCACCATTAACCACCAGTGTCACACTCGTAGCAGTTCTAATGAGTCCATTATGGTATCTCAATGTGTTTTTGTTTGCTTTTTTTCAAGTTTTTATTGTGAATTGAGTGATTCATTTATATGAGTGAACATCAATTTTACACTCATTGTTTCATTGCAATGATTACAGTCTCCTCATTAGGAGACCAATATGGTTGCCAGCAAGCTTACATGCCTGCTCATGTACTCCCTTTGAGTTTCAGTCTTGGAGGGGAATTGGTCTTGAAGAAACTTGATTGTTTGCCTTGATGGATCCCCAGCAAACAACTTGCTTGTTCTTGTAGTAGCCAATAAGACTACCATTTTAAAAAATGTTTTCCTGCTGGTCTTTCTTTCAAGAAGTATCTTCTGTTCCTCTAGCTATTCCAGGCTGGTTTGCGCATCCTTTCAAGTAGGACTGTTCCACCTCAGAGGGTTTTGGTTGGGGCTCAGGATTCCACCTTAGGTCTTACAGACTACAAAAGCTCCACAGGAAGGCTATTTCACTGGGCAAATTCTAGAACTCCTTGTAGGTATTCCAATCAGTTATAGGCT